GATAGTAAATGTTTATTAAACAAAATAGTTAGGAAATTGTTCATAATATAAGCACTCGTTGGCGATTCTGGTTTGGATACTTTTTATTACAAATAAAAATACTCTTCAGTTCAAGAATTTAATAAAAGTTTAAATGAACTCAAATAATACTACCAAAATCGGTTTTTAAGCTAAATGATTATTTTTCTTGTATTAAAATGTCTATAGATTAAAATATTATTATCGAACACCATTATGCTAAATTAAAATTATTTCAAGACATTATTAGTGTGGCACATAATAATTATATAACCATATTAGTTATTAATATTTTATTAGGAAAAACAATTTTCCTGGGAACTGCTGCAATGTTAGGTATAAATATCCCCATAATACCCTATCGTTTGTCCTGGTCTCAAGCGTAACTATTGTTCAAGCCATTCGAGGTGAACGCCGTATTCTCAGTGCAAATGTCCAGTCATTTAAATTAATAACTGTACCTAGGTATCCATCGCCAACGTGCTAATTGGACAACGATGTCGTCCTGGGAGATCCAAAGGATCATTACTCACACTCATGTTTTATGCCCACCGCTAAGTCATGGCCAGGACGGTGTATTGTCAGGATTATATTATTATTAATAATGAGGATAAGAAACTCGGTGCGCAGGTATACCACGACAACGACGACGGTCGACTTAATGTTTAGCCCGCGTGACGATTGCGGTACGATGGTGGAAAAGGAATACGAGCCCGCCGGGAATTGTTTTTCGTTTCTTTTCTTACCCAATGGACGCATCGAAATGTTTTTCGGATTTTTTATTCTTTTAACTTGTGTAACCATTTTATATATTCGCGTGTTTTGTATAAATCGAAAAAAAAAACCGAACAAAGTTCTCGTTATATAGTTTACGAACGGTTATTGTGTATAGCAGTAATAAGTTGTGATCTACTCTTTTATATATAATATGTTCTGCAGTAATTTATTGCTAAGCACTGCAGTAGAGTGATCGGAGTTACCGTTCAATTAAAATATTATTCGATTTTATTCTTTAAGAAGTTTAAGACAAGATTTAAATTTGGAAAGTTTTATCAAATAATGAATTGATGGCTGATGGCTTATAAACGTCAAAGCCATCGAAAAAATTCAAAAATCTATTACACGAATAATACCCAAATTGGATTAACAAAAGAATGAAAAAAAAAAACAAAAAAATATTTGTATTGATTATACAACACAATATCGTTTGTCGGTTTTGTATTGCTCACAAAAACGTGTTACATTTTACCGTATCGATGTAATCGAACAGCACAACTGGAACTGAAATGACCTATATGTTTCTAAAGATTCGAAACTTTTATCTGACGCATACGTATAATATACAATACATAGGTATATAAGTATTTAAATATTAATATATTTAATATATACATATATTTACAAATGCATAAGATCTATATATTTTGTATACCTACTTATAAAACTATATGTTTACGAAGGAAAATACAAAAACATGGTATCTAACTTCTATTATAATACGAGTGTTGTTAAACTTAATATGAACTGTGAATCAAATATACAGTAGACATGTACTTACTAACTGCGTGGAATGGTATATGTATGTATGTGATTGTATAGTGTTTGATATTGTTGGCCGATGACAATAAAACGAAACGAGAGAGCGAGAGCTTCAAGAATAATAGATGAAGACTACGTGAGCTAGTCCGTAAAACTTGCTAATCCCAAGATATAGCTAAGGAATATGAAGCTTATACTTGTTTGTCAAGTACATTGAAGTCTGTTCTTTCCACTGTAGCAATCATCCGGCTCCTTATCCATATCGACGTGCATGTTGCAAATCGCATCCCGGGGATTCGTTATTGTCGGCATTATCGTCTGCTGCTGTAAATCTGACGTCAATTTATTCTGACATTTCCGGCATATATATTTTTACGCGGTGATGACGCTTTCAACAAATTCGTGTGCGATTATTTCCCGTGGTTATCATTGTAAAAAAAAAACCTGCATACACTCGATTTCGTGATGTATAATAATATCGATTTATTGCGGCGGGTCATACGTATTATACGTACCTATATATTATACAGCGAGGTACTTATAAATACACCAATCGGCTGTAATATATTTTATAGTCGGCGTACTGATGATAAGGATGGATTTGGAATTTATGTATTTACAAGTTTAAACCGTTAATTCGTTTACATTCTATATACTTACGAATATCTAATAATACATTACATATGTTATTCGAAACATTTTGTAAATGTTTAGTTAGAACGCGGCAATTACGATGTCGAGTGACAAACAGCGACAAAATACTTGATTAGATTGTTTTTCTTATCTGAAATTCCGCGAATATACCATTTTTAATTATTATGTTATAAAATGTCATAGATCTTATAATGATGTCTGTCATGATATTTTGGAGCAGTAAAAAATAATTCGATTTTTAGCTTATTCAACATATTTTCTGGTTTGAAGAGATTTAAAGTCAAACATTCTTAATAATTTTTAAAGTTCTGAAAAAAAAAAAAATGTAAGAAAAATAGAAATTTTCAGGGAAAATCAGGATAAGAATTAAATATTATATTTACTTAATACGTCATGTCCTTTAATGGATTTTTTAAACCAATTATGTTATATATAAAATACATTTTTAATATTTTACAGTATAATACAATATTAAAATTTAATAATAAGGGGATTATAATAATTAATAACTATTGAAGCATACTTGAAAATTAGTTATGCAATATATAATTGTATCTTTCCTCGACTTGGAATTTAATAATAAATTAAATTTAGTACCTTATTAATTTAAGCAAAAACATATTCTTCCATATATTTTTAAATTTTGTGTAGTTACAGTAAACAAAGTTCATATTTTGTAATGATTTTATTAACATAAATAAATATAAATTATGAATATTACCATATTCTTAAAATAAAATAAATATGTAACTACTTGTCACTTTTAAATATAAAATAAACAACTTTTTTTTTTTTATGTTGAAATACTTAAATTAGTAATAAACTACATCTTTAAAACTTCATTTTATACTGACTTTTGATGAAAGTTGAAGTAAAAAAAATGTAATTATCTATGTACATATTTTGCCATTTTATCAAGAAAGTTTTCAGGACAATATGGTTAAATGGCATTAATTTTAGTAATTTAGAATTTTATCATAAATTTTCAAAAACATCTTATATATAAAATATGTGCATTTAGATATTATTGCTTACCGTATAGGTAGTATTACATATTAACTCAAAATTTTACTGTTAAGTGTAAACATATTTTTAGCCACAATTATTACAGATTAATCAATGTTTTCTTAATGTCATTTTTGAATCCACTAATTCTTCCCTTGAATTCAAGCAGCTGTTGGATCGAAAGGGTACATTCTAATATGATTTAATCTGACAGTGTATCCCATTTTTTCCCGCTCTTTTGTACAATGCTTGAGGCCAACAAAAAGGTGCTCGTCAGTATGAGACGGTATAAAAATACGAGGAATAAAAATATAAAAAAAAAAAACTGGCATTTTGGCGTTTCCAATTTTGTTTGCAGCTTTGAATAATTCATAAGAGGTTTTTATTTTTTTTATTGTAATCAATTATAACCGGTATGCATGTTAATTAAATCCAAGTAATTTCAGCTTTTTTTTTTTTTGATGTTTTTGGCGTCATTTTGCAGACATTTGCCAATAAATTACGAGTCGAGGCTCGACGAAACTGCGGTCAAAAGCACCCGGAAGTCCGGTTTCTCGTATAAGTTATTGCCCTGTCAGGAATTTAAGCTCTAAACCACGGAAATTTTAATTTTCTCGTTTATATTATTTTCATGATTTTCATATGGGAAATTAAAAAAACAGTAAATATGTGTTTTGGAATTATAATATATGTATTATATTTAAGAATTAATCAAACGATGATATTTAACTAAAAATAAATATATAATAAACATAACTTGAAGTCATAAGTAATTAATATTAAAATCAATTCATTGTTAATAATCTATTAACTACTGCGCACTATTTTTTATTCTAAAAATAGCCTGTTTATTTCAAAAATCACTTGAAAAATCAGTTGAAATGTTCAAATTAAAAACTTAATTTTTCTTACAATCAATAATAATAACTTTATCTATACACAATGTTTAAATTCTATTGTTTATGATAATGATGTTCGACTACAAGTGTAGATATTTACCTTTTCAAGAAAAATTAACATGATTAGTAACAAAAATATATTATGCATAACTATTAGTATATTATATATTATATATATTGTACACATATGTTTATCTGTACATTTATTGAGCGGAAAAATTGCACAGTAATTTCATCTGTGATCGGAAAAAAGGATCACGGAGTGCAGAGTTTTTTCCTTTCAATTGAATCCCTTAAATTGATTTATTCGTGTGCAATTGTTGACGGAAACTCTTGAATTCAATACAAAATATATAAACATATATAGTAACGAAGACATCGATTTTATACCCTAGCAAACATGTACACACATATACCAATTTATAACGCGCAACGTGTACAGCCTGTGCTTGGTTGGAGGTGTGGGGACATCGTAATTCGTTTAAATTCGGATGGACATTTGAGGAGAACACCACATTCAGCACCCACACAAACATATAATAAATATATAATTAAGGGTGGTCGAAGAGAGGGAGAAGGTGTTACTGAAATCGTGGTCTGAATTGCGTTCACATTAGTTGATCATGTTTATTCATTACAACTGTAGCCACATGTAAAGATATAATAATACGGCCAGTTAATACAAATTGTGTATACGTTACATACGAGTATATGGCTACGTGAGCGAGAAAAAAAAGATTTATATTAATGAATACATAAAAAAGCATCCCATAGTACGCTCGAGAGGCAGTTATGGTGACGGCGAAGAACAAAAGGTGGGAGAACGTGTATACCTGATATAATATTAACAAATCACACAACCGCCGCATTATCTGTCCGTCTGGTTGTCGGTAAATGTTGTAGTTGTTGTTTATTTGTTGTTTTTTGTGTACACATCGTCGGAAGTACTCATTCTTGACTGATAAATATTTATACGAGTATATTATAAACATTTATATTAAAGACTATCGAGAGTATAATTATTATATTTTACTCTTTGATGGTCGTCAAGTGGTTATCGGCAGTGGTTTACTTCTCAATACCCTGTTAATTCGAAATGGGTAGTGGTCTATGCAGAAAGACAGACGAAAGACCAAGGGCTGTACAGGAGTTTAATGGATTATACCGGAAAATTGTTTTCAATTACGCCAAACAGGTAAAGTAGATTTTTTTGCACTATCAATACGTTGAGGTCGTGTATATTTAAAATAGGTTAAATGAATAAACAGTTAATTCGTTGTATCATAAATAAGTTAAAACCACATTTAATATTTAATTAATAACAGGTCATAAGACAATATGATTTATAATTTATTTAATTAAAACAAATTAATACTTAATATCTTAAAATATAATTACAATTGCCATTATTCATTATATTTTAACATCGCAATACATAAATAATATTATTAATTATAAGACTGTCTTACAATTTTTAATTTATTTTACATACACATTTGCACAGCTATATTATACTAACGTCAATATTTTGTATTTTATATTGTTAAAAATGCCAAAATTTACATATTTTATAAGGTAAAAGTATGAATAATAAAATTATCTACTTTGATAAATCTCAGCACATAAAATAAAAAAAAGTTTAGGCAGTGTATAGATAAACCTTAACGAATATTATTATTATTATTATTATTCACTGTTTTACAGAAGCAAAATGATAAATTTGAACATGTAAATAAGTTCAAGTGTTATTATGCATCATTCAGACTTTAATCTAAATGTTTTGCTAGAGCTAACAAATGTAGATATGCGTTTTATAAATCATATTTAAAAATTTTTCAAACTTATAAATTAAGTATACTATTTTTTTACAATAATATTATTAAATACCTATGTTGCTAATTAATTATGAAATATTTAAGTTACCTATAAGTTATAAATAGTATATTGAATGTAATTTGTTTCTGTACTTCTAATACAAAAAAATTCTGAGTAGTAAAATTATTCAGTTATATATTTAATATAATGTATTTGGTTCTAATTAAAATTTCTAGTGACAAAATATAAATAATTGCATTTAATAAAATAGGGATTCAATAAAAATGTGGAAAATTTAAATATAAACAATATCTATATGTGATAACACATAATAAGGGTCTGATATGATTGCCCGACACTCGAATGCCCGACACTTCAATTGCCCGATACCATTTGCCCGACAATACTTTTACCCGACATTACATTGGCCCGACACTACATTTGTCCGACAATACTTTTACCCGATATTACATTGGCCCGACACTACATTAATCCGATAATATATTTTACATATTTTTATTGTACGTAATACTAATATACAATATTTTATTATTATTTATTATTTATTAATATAGAATAATTCAAAAAAACCAAAATCAGACGAATATTTTATCATGGATAATATCGTTATATATAATATATATGTAATATAAAAGTAAGATAATAATTTCATTTATAAATAAACCGATAGGCGATAGACAGATAAAACGACAATAGGTTTTTGACGCGACGCGCGACGTTTTACAGTTCAGTACAGTACAGTTATAGCCGTATTATAGGTATACATTTAGTACAAATTCTACTTCTTTCTTTTAAAAATATTATAATTTTGATTTTTTTCCGTTAGGTTTTATTTTAATTATTTTTTTTAATATACATTGGAAGATGGCACAAATTTGTGAAACCGTTTCATCAAATAGAGGTGGTATAAAACTTGTTATTGATGGTTATATTATGACAAAAGACAAAAATAGAGATGATTTGTATTATTGGTGCTGCGAAAAGAGAAAAACTCTCAATTGTGGTGGTTATGCTTGTACCATTCTAATTAGTGGACAGCATAACTTACGAAATACAAAAGAGCATAACCATAGCCCCGATGCTACTAGAAAAGATATCATCACGGCTGTTCATAATTTGAAACGAAAGGCTCGTGAGACTAATGACACGCCTGCACAAATAATACAAGTTGAAACCAATGCTGTTTCTAGCCTAAGTCAACCATCGTTGCCAAATAATCATGCTCTACGTCAAATTATAAAAAGAGTACGCAGAAAAGATATACCTATGCAACCAACTTCCATTGACGATATAGATGTACCATTACCCCTTAGAACTATTAATGGACAAATTTTCCTAGCAAAAGATGCATCCTTTGACAATGAAAGAATACTTTTGTTTACAACTAAATCTAACGTTGAACATTTAAAAAAAAGTTCATATTGGATCATGGACGGTACTTTTAAAACTGTTCCGACACTTTTTCGACAATTATATACAATTCATGCTATGGTAGGAACAGGAGAAAATGCAAAAATATTGCCTCTCGTGTATGCTTTAATGACGAGTAAAACAGAAGAATGTTATACTCGCCTTTTTGAAAGTTTAAATGATTTTGCAGCTGAAAATGAGTTAGATTTAAATCCTCAATTTATTTTAACTGATTTTGAGCAAGCGGCTATAAATGCTTCAAAACGTGAATATCCAGACACTAATTGCATAGGTTGTCTTTTTCATCTAGGGCAAAGTGTATGGCGTCAAATTCAAACAAATTCTCTAAGTAAAAGATATGGAGAAGACGAAGAATTTAGTTTGAAACTACGTCAGATTATTGCACTTGCTTTTCTTCCACCTACCGAAATACCAGGTGCATTCGATGAATTGAAATCTACTATTCCTGAAGAAGCTTCTGAGATAATGCAGTGGTTTGAGAACAATTATGTGCATGGTAGAATTAGAAGGATAATGAGAGGAGGTAATGTAAGTCGTGCAGCTGCTTTATTTCCACCAAAATTTTGGTCCGTATTTGAGCGAATGGAATTAGGAGTTCCTAGAACTCAAAACCGCGTAGAGGGTTGGCACAGACGTTTTGAAACTCTCGTTGGAAAATGTCATGTTGGTGTTTACACAATTTTAGAGGAAATTAAAAAAGAACAAATTCAAACGGAACGAAGAGCCGAAGATATAATTCGTGGAAGGGCACATACTCCAACTCGTAGAGAATACGCTGAAAGAGAAAAACGTATTAGTGCAATTATAAATGATAGGGGAAATCGATCACAGTTATCATTTCTAAGGGGAATCGCTCATAACATTAAATTGTAAGTAGTATAATGTTTTTATTATAATTAATTTTTGACACATATTTATTTATAATACTTAACTTGATATGTCAGAGAAATATTTTATAATTAGTTGTATAATTTTATATATAAGATTAATTTGTAAATAACATAATAAAATATAATATTTTATTGAAATTTTAAATAATTTTTGACACAAATTTATTCATAATTTAATTTAATATTGTCGGGCAAACGTAGTATCGGGCAAACATAGTGTCGGGCAAATATAGTGTCGGGCAAATGTAGTGTCGGTTAAATGTATTGTCGGGAAAATGGTGTCGGGAAATTAAGGTGTCGGGCAATTGAATGTCGGGAAAATGTACTGATCCCACATAATAAACATTTGAATAAGTTAATAAATACCACGAGTACAAATTTAATAATTAACAAGTAATATTTGTATACTAAAATAATATATCAATAGGCAATATTTCATGCATTCATGAGAATATGTATATGATAAAATTTCCATTATTATTCATTTAAATGTAATAATTATATAAATTTTATTTCATTAAAAAAAATAGTGAAAGAAGAATATTATACTTGAAAATTATTAGGTACTATATTCATATTTTTATTATAATATGTTCACAAATTGTATACGTCATGTTGAATTATTTAAATTGGATACGCTTGTATAAAATTTTACAAGAATACAAAAAATTAATTTTACCGATTTTTGGTGATGAATAGTTACGAAAAAACCTTGAATCTTTTTAGATGGTCTTTTACGTGTGAATTTCCATTGAAAGAAACTCTTTCGAAGTTACTTACATACAATATACGTTTATTCATAAAATATTTTAATAAAATGTATGATTTTTTTTTTTGTAAACTTCTTGGTACGATTATTTAATATGGAACATCTGCCAAAAATAATTAATCCCCTGCTTAGATTCCTAATGACGCATAATCCAAGGTCAAATGATATTAATGCATTCATATAACAATGCAATATATTATTATGACATTATGCATATTACATAATATGTATATTATAATATAATGGTATAATAATAATTTGTCGAAATAATATATACTACTAAACTACCTACTATATTTTAATCCTATAAAATTTAACATATTATTATGACTTATGGTGTTCGATGTGACATATTCAGATATTTTTGTACAGTACCTGTATATTATAAAATATCTGGCATTGTAGTTGTATTAATATGCATTGCTAATTAATTCGTATAACAAATTATACGTTACACGAGTATGCGCTAAATATAGAAACCTGTGTAAAAAATTATATTAATTAAACAATAATAATATGTTAATTAACTAAAGAAAATAATCAATTGATTTTTATGTTCCTAATAAACGTTAGATAAATGATCGTTTAACGAAAAATAGAACTCTTTAATTAGCTCTTACAGTATTTATTATGTGTTTTTAATGTTATAATAGTATTATTAATCATATTTTCAGTGGACACGATATTCAGACAAACAAAAGAAGAGTGAAAAAAAAAATACAAAACAAAATAAGTAAGTCAAATATTATTATATGTGTGTTAACAATAATAAAGAGAATTATAAGTTTATTGCAAATTGCAAATTGCTTATTTGTACAATTTTGTAGAAAAACTGACAGGATCTATGTATAAAATTACGCAGAATTATATTGCAAATTTTGATGCTATTCAGAGGTTTATCAATGAATAAGCTTTAATTTTAGCTTTTAAAATACTCTTATTAAATAATTTAAAAACACATTTTTGAATGTTTAAGTTAAAAATTAATATTATAAAGTTTTTCACTCTTTTGCATGATAAATATATTTTTAATTTTAGAGTATTTCGATACATACGAATTGAATTTAAAATAAATAATTTAAGAAGTAATATCATAATGAGTATTTAAAGTTTAGACGATGAGCAGAATAGTGTTGGTGGTATAGGATACCTCTACAAAATGTTTGTACAATATTCCTCTGCCCGTAATTTCTTGTCCAAAATTTTATCAAGCTACGAATTAATGATATTTGAAATAAATTTAAAGCTCAATTAAATGTATACATTTTTATGAATTACACTTTATAATTGTGTTAAGTAGATTTTTTGATATTAGCACTACTTTTATCCTGGTTATGGTACATACGCAGTGATGAATTACATAATATTCTTATAAATTTTCATGTAATGGTATAAACTCTTAAGTATTCGTAAAATAAAACATTATTAAAAAAACATTGTTCGTACCTTTCATTATAATATTAATTGAAAAGATTTAAAATGATTTGTAGGTGTTCATGTAGATGTTCCAATATGTTCTTTTCCGCTTAAAATTTAAATTTTTAATAATGAATTAAATGAATATTTTTTTAGAAACATGCATCGATTTAAATTTTTACAGTTACGCCATCAGTCAAGTATTAATTTCTCTGTTATAACTTATAAAAATGTGTTCTGGCAATAAAGGAAGTCAAGAAATTTTTGTAACATTCTTAAAAACTTTTTTTTAAGAGTAATTTAGTTCGGTAAAGTTTTAAGAATACCTACTTCTTATATCCCAAAACGTGATAGTGAAACGCACACATCATTGTAATCGCCAAATAGATTCTGAGTGCTTCTCAAAATCTAAAATTGAACATGAACAAAGTTAAATGTAATCATAAAATCCATATTTTCGGAGAAACAAAATTCAGTAAGAAATCACTGTATATTATAACATTTTATATAACATCAAAATTAAACATTTAATGTATATAAAATGTTAGTATGAGCTGTGTCAGTATAGAAAAATAATAATATAAACATAATATTATTTTGTTATTTTGAAAAATATATTTACTATGAATGTTATTAAAATTGTAAACTTTAAAAAGATAAATTTATCTACAATTGTATCTGTTTCTCTTTTATTGTTTTACTATTTTCAACTAATATTTGTATACTTTGTAACTGTCGAACCTAATAGTATAACTAAGGTTTCAATAAAAAAAAAAAAAAAAGAAGAAGATAAATATGAAATAGCTTATAATATCTAATGATAATAATTATTTATGTTTGGGCAGCCATATAGAAAAAATAAATTCAAATTGTATGATCTCAAGTCTTGTGTGAGATAATGATATATACAAATTAACTGCTACTGCGTAGCATGTGTCATAAAAAAAAAAAAAATGAACGTATTTATAAACTATTAGCAAACAATCTTCATGATGTTATAACTTATATATAACAATATAAGTATATTGTTGAGGAAACAAGAAGTTCAATAAAATTAGATAGATGAAAATTATTTTAAAATCAATATAGTGAGCAAATCAAAAAAAAAAAAAAAAAAAATCTAGAACATAACAGTTTTATAGCAAAGTGTCTAATGAATAAGTAAGATATTATTTTTTTGGAATACGTCTAATTAAACACCAAACAGTGCAATACAAGAGTAATATTTTGTTATTTTCAACATGGATTACTGTCAAGTGTATAAATCACTTTGAACAGACGAGATGGTAATAAATATGTCTACAGAACGCAATACTATAGGTGTCGTGTGAAAACAACAAAATGAAATTCATAAAACAACGCACGACACCGTTAAATATATATATGTGTATATGACAAGACACGCTGTAGTCAATAAACTCCAAATCTTTCCGTAAAATTTTCGTCTACGCGTTTTATTAGACGATCGTTTCGAAAACTTTACGCAGGTATCTTAGGCTGTTTATTGGGGAATTAAAAAAAAAAAAAAAAAAAAAAAAAATAAACGTAAAACCACGCACTGACCATGTATATGTGTTTTCAGAGCTGTTAAAATGTATTAAAATGTTACAAAGGTATAACCTCGGCATAGTATCAGTGACGCGATAATAAACTTCATCATTATTATATGCTTTATGTTCCGTCGGTCATTCGCATTATGAAATAGAATACTCAGTGAAACACGGATATATGTGGCTTATTACAGTTAGTTAAAATTGGAAAATATCATGTTGTACTTTGTACCTATGTGAATATTAAATTTCCCGACAAAGGATAGAAATTTATTAGAGATGAATTCATAACGTCAAATTAATACGAATAGGTAGCAATATTTTCAAATATAATATGTTATAGTATCATAAAGTTGTATTTAACTTGTTTAACATAATATATTTTAATATAATCGTATTTATTTAATACTTAGATACTATGATGTACAATGATTGAATTATTACTTAAAACTTCATATTTTGAGAGTGTGTGACAATATAACTTTTGTACAGTGCCAATATTTTTTTTATTAATAGGATTTTAATGATTTCATATCATTGTTTGTTAACAATTAAAATCTTTTACCCTATAATATTATATGATTTAAAAAATAATTATAATAAATAATCATATTATTATACTATTTCATAATTTATCTTATCGTTTTACAGTGATGTATGTTTTATTTTAATTTTTTTTTTTTTGTGTCTAAAGACACTTTTTATAATAAATATAGAAATAAATATTTAACTTTCTTCTAAAAATTTGTTTTTTGTTAACAATTTGGATATAGTTGATATATTAGTAATTTAATTCATCTATAAATATAGTGATTTAACTAAAAAAAGTAAATATTTTAGGTACTCTTCTAAAAAAAAAAACATAAAAATTATAGGAAAATAGAAAATTTATGCTAGACTAGATTTTAAACCAAGATATATTTCATTATTTTGTTGAATTCAAAAATTAATTACAATAAATATTTCAAACTTTTATCTAATATATATTAAAATTTTTTAGACATGGTGTAATTTTTAAAATATTTTGACTTTTTTTGAGCTATAGATATTTAATATTTTTGACATACATATTTATACATTTGTTTTAAAACAAATACTAAAAACCAATGCTTTGCAAACAATGTTTATTATATACTGTTTTCACTGAAATAAAATAAAGTTTAGCATTAGGCTATGTTTATTTTTTATGAGCATTAATAGTTTATATTATATCAACATTAAATATTCAAACAAAAAATCACAATATTTTAGTTATTTTTTTTGTAATTAAATAATATTATTTTAAGGGACTTAAAACATTAATGAGAATTTTTTAAATATTTAGATTAAGGTTATATATTTTATTTAAGTTATTTAACACCTTTAAATAGGTATTCAAATAATAATTCTTTGGAACATCGATATTAATTTATTTAAAGTGCATTGTACTTCAAACAACAATTAACAATAGTATATTTATAACATAATAATAAATACATTTGTTTGATAATTGATAAGTAAATTAGAAAATAGTTCAAATATTTAATGACTTAATAAAAGTTAGTAATACTATATGATATATGTGATTGTTTTTTTTCAAAAAAAAATACTTAAACTTACTGTATTATATTAATGGAAAAATAATTTACTATAAAATATATAGTTATAAACATTCTTAGAAGTGTTGGATAACAATCCTTTTTTTACTTAATATTGTTTTCGTATAAAATTATTTTTATTCTATTCAAACTTAATGGCGTTGACGAGAAACTCTCAACACCTAAAATAAAGGTGAAACTGTACAGCACAGAAACTTCTCCAGCATTATTTTTTAGTTTCTAGTTTCTAAACTTTTTTATATAATTTAAATCTAATATATCTATACATTTAGAAAAAAATAAAATAGAACACTTAATTAGATTTTTAATCATAACCCTTAATAATTCTATTTAACTATGTTCTATATATTGAACAAAATATTTATACATATCTAATTCAAGTAATGGAAGTGTGGTGACTGTTGCAAATACCATATAAGATTGGGATTCAGAATAACAAATGATTTGTTCCGGAACGTGAAAATTTAATGTTCCTAAACGGAACTTTACTATAAACAGTTTCAATTATTTGTTCCGTTCCGGATCTTTACACTGTACTATTAACTTCGATTCGTTAAAAATCCAGGATAAATCACGTTTACCTACCTAACCTAATACGATACCTATATCGTAAAACCGTTGTTTAACATACATCGATAGTTCTGTTCCTAATCCCTATGCTTTATAATGTAAACATAATTTAACGTATATGGACATGGTATTATTATAATACAGTTAACATTGTATGCATTGCGTTCGTGTTTGCTCAAATCATGTCTGTTTGGTTGTATCACGTTTAGGAGCAAGAGGAAGAAACCCATCATCAGCGGACCGTTTCCGGCCGATCCGGACCGGCTGCACGGCGACAAATGGCAGTATGTGATACTAACTCAATTGGACACGGAACCGCCGCCCGAACGACCGCCGCGGACCAAACGACGCCACCGGCAAGATGATAATGTGTCGAGCAGTGGCGTCTACAGCGGCTTCGTCCGATGGGGATCGGAGCGGCGACAGTCGTTCGGACGCAGAAGACAACCGAAGCAGCAGTTACTCGTTGACGAGCTAACGGAATCGATGTCGGCCCGACGAGACTTTGGCGACTGCGGCAGAACCGGCCAAAGTGAGGAGGCAGCGGCGACGGCGGTTACTTTGAACGAAAAAGCCTCGTCGGCTTTCGACGTGTCCGTAAATAAGCCATCGCTGTGGGTAGTATTTTGGTCGGGCGCAGTCGTCGTCGGTCGGACGTACGCTGCCCGACGAAACGGTTTGCTGAAGTCTGTTGTCCGAGCCAATGCGATGGCCGACGATTTGCTGTCGTAACGGTAATAACGTCGTCGAAATTTATGTTATAACAAAGTGTTTTGAAATAATATTTTTATACTAATAATAATACTATTAACATTTTTTGACCACCCACCCACTTAACCATGTATTATAATTACAATAATAGGTATGCGTGTGACTTACGGTGTATTTTTTTCATCGATTTTTCCAAAATTCATTGCGGAAACATCTATTTTGTCTCATATATAGTCACAATGTTGTATGGTGATTGTCCAAAATCCGTTAGTTATTCTATTCATATTGCTAGCTATAAAATACACGTTGCATATTAAATCAGCATTTGAAAATACGTCCGATGTTAATTTGATTGTCTGTAGATAATCAGATATAATCACGGGTTATGCGAGGAATGCAGCATTACTAACAGTAGATAGGTATACATGGTAAGAATTAATAAATGCATTATACTTATATACCTACTTATCTCATTATATTTTGGTTTCGAATCTCAAACTAGGTTTGATATTCGAAAAAAAATATCTAATAAAAAATATTATGAATTACGATAATAACAAAAGGGAAACTGTATAACTCTCTTTTCACATTATAAAATCTCATCTTACCTAACGTGCCGATTTGATATCATACAAATACGCGCCGGAGGAGACATCTTACTATCGAGTTCAATTTAAGTGCACACTCGACGTATTTGAACGCCATAAAAACTGAACGCAAAACAGTTCAACGATTTATCCGGTAATAACATAGCGAAAGAAAAAAATATATAAATAAAGTGGTAATGTAATACCGAAAATCCTCCTAGCGCAGTGTTTATGACTTCCGCGGCTCGACGGATGATACTTCCGGTGAGTTAAAGCCAAGTCGCCTTGTCATCATTTCAGAAACAGGTCGTTCGATTCGAGCGAAAAGGCAAGAGAAGAGGGTGAAAATAAATATATTTAAAGGTTTGACGTTATGTAATGGCTCCATTCGATATGCGTATATAGTATATATAAATAACTTTTAATATATTATATATAGATCGTATATATTTGTTTCCCAATTTTATTCACCATTCTATATGTCACGTTATTATTACGACATCGATAAAAAATGGGGTTCGCACAATAATAATTAACAAGGTATACGGCTGCATACGAATTGCGTCTCGTGGCAACAATTCCTTCCGAATTGCGTCCCAAGTTTTTTTGGGGGTAATACTAATTGCGTCCCGGTTATTTTTTGTGGTCATACTAGTTGCGTCCCGATTTTTTTTAAGCGAGTGCTACGTTGTTTTATATAAATATCAGTTTGTAACCTCTTCAGAGTATTTATAAATTGAAAAATATTTGGATGGGCATTATAAAACATCGCGTTGAGTTTCGAATGAAAAGCTTCACAACTATTAGTATTAGAAATACTAAAATAATTTATAATAATCAATAATTTTGCCTTTTAGATATCACAGGTACTGGGGACGCAACTCAGCCGTGCTCGAGAAAAACCCGGGACGCAATTAGTATTATACCTTTTTATATCTTTTTATACGGGACGCAATTCGTACGCACCGAGGTATACACGATTTCCAAGAATTTTTTATAGATATTTACTCGTAAATAACTCTTTTCATACATCAACAATGTTTTATTTTTTTTTTTTGGAAAATTTCATAGAATTCCCTAAAGTTGTTCATAATTTAACGCCCATATTATCAAAACTTAAGATTATTATGGACATTTTAATTTATTGTTTTTTTCGTATCAAACTAAAATTAGATATTTTATTCAGTCAATCAATTTGTAATAAAATTGTACTTTTTTATGTTTTGTTTATCAAATTTGTAAAAGTAAAAGTAATTTGTAAAAGTGTCCTATAAAATACAACAATACCCTTAACAGAAATAATAAATTTAGAAATTATTGTAGAATACAATTTTAATTTAATTTCGTTTAATAAATGACTAATGGTTTATGCTGTATGTCTATACTTGAAGAACAGTTTTAATCTCAAATTGTACACTTATTTTATATTATACAAAATTTTAAATTTATTTCCCTTTGAATATTTTATAGTACATAAAATTAATATTATTTTATTCATTAATGTATATCTGTATTTAAAACTGTGTATATGCGCATCAGTGTGCTAGCTAAATATATGTAAATTTACTAATAATAATTAAATATAATTTTATATTATTAAAATTTAATAAATAGTATTAACTACAGAGTCAATAACTATGGTATTAAAATTATTAGTATAAAAATATAAGATAATAGAATACTTATAATTTTTATGTTTATTTCATTATAGCGTACATTCACATTCACATGTGTTCATTTGTAAAAATATATTATATTATAAATATATACTTTATTAAAATAAAAAAGATTAGATAATTTACTTCTCAAATGAAAGAATTAACAAATTACATACAAACGTATGTATTTTTTTCGCTTTTTTAGTAATATAAATATGTAATATATAATGCCAAAGTTATTTTTTTTTTACACAAATTAACGATTTTTACTAATTAAGCAAGGTTAAAATCAAGCGAATAACAGTTTTTATTTTACATAATTGTGAATTTAAGGTTTTTAATTATATAAGTTTGTAAACAAAATCAATCATACCAAAAAGCGATTTGCATTTATTATTTAGTACCTTATGTTAAATTTTAGACTCTGAGCAGAGTGAAAAAATATTGGTTTTATCTTGATATGTTTTTTTTTTTTTTTTTGTGTGTAAGAGTACATGATAAGTTGTCCATAAAATGCTTTAATTTTCAAAAACGAGGGTGGATATAAAATTAGACTTAATTTGTATTTCAAAAAGGTCAAACTTAAAAATTCTTAGTACTTCATTTATAGTTGGAAAATAAAAATAAGATTAAAGAAAATCGGGAATTTTCATGTAATCCAATTTCGGGTTTTTGATATAACTCGAAAATAAAAACTACAGAAACTTAAATTTTTCACCAAATATTAATACTTTCTTGGTTTTACATTTACAATAAAATTTTGAAAATATTTCAAATATTTTTTAAGTATTTTTATCAATGTTGACTAAAAATTATTTGCTGCGTAGAAATGTTTGAACATTTATTACAAGATTCCTGTTAAGTAGTTCATATTGGAACCATAAAATGTAAAAAAATATATAAAGATAAATGTTTTTCAAAGATGTTTTAAGTTTCAATTTAAAATAAATTACTTATTTAAATGACAAATAACGATATGTTAGTTATTTTGTTATAAATTGAAACATTTTTGGGAAATAATATAATTATGAACTTTATATTATTTTAAGTTTTATTATGTATTTAAAAAAAAAATTTTATTGAATTTTGAGTATTATAAGTTGAAATAATATTTTATAAATATATTTTACTGTATTAATTAAACACAATTAATATACGTAATAAATAACAAAAAAGAAAGACTACTTTAGTTCTTTAGTTTAATAAAAAAAAAAAAAAAAAAAATGACTTGAATTCGAATTAAACGCATCCATTACAGTGATCTTCTTGACATCAAACCACAGTCGTGATATTACACTCGAAATTAATTGTACAGTAGAACGATAGATCTCCAGAATTTTTGTTGGGTATTAACAATTTAAATTCAAACAATAAAACATATAGGGATGTACAATAAAAAAATAAATGATTGAATTAAATTCAAAGTTTTTTTCTCGTGCACACAAAAATATAATTTATATTATATTATAATGTGTTATAAGTTGTAACACAATAAACAAAAACAATTTTCATAACAATAACCAAACAGATAAACAACAACAAAAATACTTAATGACTGTTGTCACAGGGTAGATGCTCAAAAAAGAGGGAAAGACAACCGATGGAATTTGTTGAAAAGATATGGCCGCTGGTTATCTATATATTCACGTTACCACAGCCGGTCACAAGCGGTCAAGTTCAGTGTTGGACACAGAGGTTTGTGATGACTGTGACCGACTAGTGGTAATAGCGCGACTGCAAGAGCAACTCAAGCGATATTACGCACTTGGATGGTAAAGGCGGCGGCGGCAGACGATGATGGATATTCAGACAAGTATAACGGCTGGAAAGAATGGCGATTGACGGCCGGAGCTCGTACTCGGCTGACAAGATACCGGAGCGAAAATTCGGTGAACCAGTGTAGTTATTCGTATCCGATACGTCGACTTCGCCCCTATGCCCCATCGGTCGAGTAAAAACGGCCATATACTGGTGAAGCCCGGAAACGCTGCGGCTGGTTGCAAGCACGTCTTACAATCGATCGCAGCGTCAATCGCGTTACACCATTTCGTGAACATCCGTTCCGTTAAAAATTCATACCCGAATTTACACCACTGCTGTCGTTGCCATCTCTGCCATCCACAGATAACGGATAACGGTGAGCTGCGTCAATGCCAACATCCGATATCCGTGGCGCTGTCAGATTCTCGCGTCTGATGTGCCTACGACCAAAGCTGATCGGATGGTATTGATATAAATGTAATTATTCTGCACCACAGCCGATATCCACCATTACACGTCTACCTGAAAAACACGACCATGGAAAACGCAGTACCTATAGATAATAATATACAGTTTTATACGAGTCTGTACTTTCGGCCTCTTTCCCCTATTTTGTGTCCACCTATCCGAACATCTTTCAAGCTCGACTTCTCTTCAGCTTTTCGTCTAACCTTGATACCGGTAGCATAACGTCGCACAATATAGCATATGGTCCAAAAGACCCTCCAAAGACATCTCTGGAAGACAAAAAGGAACTGACGTCTGTTCTGCCGTACTTGTACGTGCACACATATAAATGGTACTGTAGTACCGTTGGTACACTTAAACATAATGGACATTTAGCTAATAATTGTTTTGATAGTTCGTCTATTACAGAGTATGAAAAAAAATAATGAATTAAAAATTGTCTCCATGATATATATTTTAAAGGATTTGGTCTCAACAACAAGCTTATAAATTTAATTTAACTAAAATTTAAAATACTGAACTTTTTTAAACTTAATAATTTATTGTTTTACGAATTTTGTTGAAGAAATGCTTTCTGTTATAAGATGTTGGATATCCATTCACCATATATTAACTATTTTTTCCCAAACAGTTTTAATTTT